ACTGCATGAAGAATGACCCAATAACCATTTGACCAAAATCAGCCTAGAGGTATTAGTGGATTGTAGGCTTTATAGTGGGATACAGCAGGTAATAAAGGGAGTATAGCCTTAGGCTACAGAGAGGGATAGTATTCATATCTAAGAAGTCCTGTTCTATGCTTCTTTGTTTATACCACAAATGGAAGATTGTTTTCAGATCTGAGTACCACATTTTGGGAAGGATATTAATAAAATGGTGTCATAATGAAGGTAGCCAGGAGATTAAATGCCTCTGAGATCATGCCCCATGAAGATCAACTGAAGAAAAGAGGAATGCATCGCTTGGAGAAGAGAAGACTTGAGAAGTATATGATTCCTGTCATCAAGTATTTAAAGTATTTGTTCCATGGGCCAGCTAGATGGTACACTGGATAGAGTATCAGACTTAGAATCATGAAGACCTGAATTCAAATGTGGTCTCAGATGCTATCTAACTGTATGACCCTGGGCAAGTCACTTAATTTCTTTTTGCCTCAGTTTCCTCATTTGTAAAATGGAGATAATAATAGTACCTACCTCCCAGAGTTGTTATAATTTAATGATATAATAATTATATTTATGTAATAAATGATGCAATAATTATAAGTATGTAATAATTGTGTGATAATATAATGATGTAATTATGCAATGAATGATACAATAATTTGTAATTATATAATATAATGATGAATAATTATGAAGCACTTAGCACAGTACCTGGCATATAGTGAGCACTATGCTATTATTAGCTAACATGGAGGCATAACTAGACTTATTCTGGATTATTCCATAGGATAAAAATAGGAGCAATGGATAGAGATTGCAAAGAGGCAAAATGAGACTTGATGTCAGGGAAAGCTTCCTAACAATTACAGCACAGTTGAGGTCCCTGAAGGTCTCTAAGCAAACGTCTGATAACTACATCTTAGGTATAATGTAAGAAGGGTTATTTTTCATGTATAGGTTGGACTACATCATCTCTGAAGAGCTGTGAATCTAAATGAAATGAACTTTCCTGATTTAGACTACTTTCATTAGAACGTGTAGGGTAGGCACAAAATTAAGTTCATTTCTTGGAAATAATTTGGGTTGTAAAACACTTTTCACTTAAGAATACCCAAATACCTAACCAGTGTTCTCCAGTTCCATCTAAGATATTAGCCAGAAGCAATATTTCTTTAAATTTAGGGTAGAATCAAACATGTATCAGGGAAACAAAATTCTCCAGAAAATTTCTAAAAATCATCCTTAGTTTTTCTTTAGAACTGTGTTAAAATAAGAGGTTTGATATTTAGCATGTAGGAGCCATAGAAATAAGAATATGACCGCTTATCCAAGTCCAAAAAGAAATTAGAGAAATCTAAATTTGAATTTGATCTCCTTTCAAGTCCTTTTGAAAGCTGTATAGATTGGAAATAAATATGTGTTAGAGAACTCAGTGTTTCCACAGTTTTCAAATACATATTATCTTAATCTAGTGATATTGGAATAGAAAAAGAAAAACATGTGGTATTAGTAGCTATGAATGTGACCATGGTAGATTTTGAAGAATTAATTATTTATATGTTTTTAAATGGCTAGTCATTTTAGAGAATAAAGGGGCCTTAAAATTATCTAGTTCAGAGATCTCCTTTTAAAAGATATAAAAAGACCTTACAGGCCTTGAGTTTTAATGCTAGGCTGTGATGAGAGTGTCTCATGTTCATTCAAGTACAAAAAACAAATTTTTCACT